GACGCTGAGATAGCCGAAGGAGAAGGTGAGGACGAAGAACATCTATACTGAGTATTTCTAAGTCGAGGCGTGGTGTAGGTGCTTTGTCGACGAATGCCACTGGTGGGGACTTCGGCTCTGAGAAGAGGCATAGGAACGATTTTGCCCTGTGGAAGAGTTCAAAGCGCGGGGAGCCTAGCTGGGAGTCACCTTGGGGTCTAGGCCGTCCCGGCTGGCACATTGAGTGCAGTGTGAGTTGGACTCAAACCTACAGGTCGACGTTTTGGGTCGACGAGTATGTGTCAGGTGATGGCTAGTGAGGTTTTGGGAGCTCACATTGATATCCACGGTGGCGGGTCTGATCTGAAGTTCCCTCATCACGATAATGAGATTGCTCAGAGTGAAGCCTATCACTTCAGTAAGTCCTCTTGTAGGGTACTTACTCGAGTATTTGGCTTTAGGCGATTCTTGTGGCGATTGCAATACGGCAGACGCCCAGTGGGTCAATTACTTTCTGCATGCTGGTCACTTGCACATCAAGGGCCTCAAGATGAGTAAAAGCCTGAAGAACTTCATTACTATTAGACAAGCTCTGCAAAGGTAACGCGTGGGTGCCGAGAGCCGCTGTATAGTATGCATTCTGAGTAGTGATTAACGAACTACATGCTACGGTTGAGTGTTCAAAATGTGTCGGAAATTGCTGTAGTTTTATACCAGATCGTAGGAGATTCGAATTCACGTTTGTCAGTTACACTGCGCGTCAGCTGCGTATTATGTTTTTGCTGCAGCAGTGGGACAAGCCAATCAACTTCTCTGATCAGACAATTGCCGAGGCGAAGGACAAGGTGATGATGGTTGCTTCGCTCCGCCTCTTCGATGATTTCGTTCTCGCAGGAAACTCGTTTTAATTCCTTTTTCAACCGCGTGAAGGAACTCCTTCGTACCCGTCCCCCTTATTCTATCAGACAGAAGTAGTGCTCTTGGAATGTATCAAGCCAGCTTTATGCACTTATGTGTAGGTGGGAAGAAGAGTCTCTCGATTTCGCCATAAACGAGCAAATTGCTACTGCGATGGCCGCTGTTCATGAGGCACTGTGCGACAATTTTAACACGTAATAGAAATTGTGGTTATATGGAAGTGATAATTCCGCTTCAAGGTCGGAGGCGATGACTCAGCTGGACAATATCGTTACGGCGGTGAACTCGTATATGGTGAAGTCCGAAAATCCGAAGGCAACTCTTATTCAGGAGGCGGCACAATATGTGAGGCCTAGGAAAAGAGTAATTTCGTGGCGCGTGACGTTATTTCAGGTGCAAAAAATGCTAACGATTTTCGGTGTTACTGACAACGCGGATGTCCTTGGCCTATCGAGCGGAGCTCAAGGGGAGGAGTCAAAGACTCTCTCTAACGTCCTTACCGCCTTCGCCTCCTTCCGGGAACAGCTGCGATCGACGGCCCAAGCAGACAAGAACAAGATGCTATTGCAGATGTGTGATGACCTTCGCGATGAGACTATGGTCGATCTCGGAGTTCGCCTTGAAGATAAGCCAGATGGAAGCAGGTGATGGATCGTCTACGGGCTGTGGACTACGGCTGAGTCGGGGGAACTGATTTCTGTGTTTCAGTGTGTGGTCGCTGGAGGATCCGATAGCGTTGAAGCGCGAGATCGAGGCGAAGAAAGCCCAGAAGAAACGTGAGGCCCGTATGAAGGAGAGGCGCAAGTTGGAGACTAAAGTTCAAGAGAAGACGAAAGAACTTCAGCGGTGGACGAAGGCTCTGGTAGACCCTGCTGAGTTCCTCAGAGACGAATCGAAGTAGTATAATAGAATATTGAGAGCTCCATCAATGGTGGACGCAGATACGGGTCCTGGGACGATGCTGGATTGCCTCTGACGTTCGCCGACGGTTCAGAGATCAGCAAGAAAGCTAGGAAGCAAGCGATCAAGGAAATGGATAAGCACGTGAAGGATCATAATGAGGTGAGACATACCTTATTGTGTACATTGATTTGGTGGCGACTGAATTTGCATCTTGTTAGGTTGAAACTCGCGGCGGTGAGAGCTATGTACAGTCCGTTGAGAAGGAG